AATATACAGCGACTACAATGTTTAGAAAAGAAGTAGAAGAATGGGACACACTAGTGAACACTGTACACCTATATCCGCCACTAACATAATGTTATTAAAACAAGACTAAAACAGTGCACTAACACAGAAGCGAAAAGAAACAGGGAAAAAGGAAGAAACCCCACCTCCATTTAAAACTTTAACCCAAATGTCCCAGTAACAAGGTTATCACGAATAACCGAACTCAATTACGGGCTCAATACAGCTCCTTCGCACATACTATGTTATACACAGGCAGTCATATCAGTGATCGACTATGCAGCACCTGCACTCACAAGCCTATCACAACAACAGTGGAAAATGCTTGAAGTAGCCCAAAACAATCCAGACTTGAAACTCTGAGACAAAACGGATTTGCCCTTTCTTAAATAATGAATATATCAAAGAACGACTACGATTATCATTAAGATAATTATTTCCTCTAATCCAGTAACAGTACGACAGGCCTTTGTGTTGTCCTTGACAAAACAATGGAAAATTCTTGGGCTGCCAGGGCGGGAGTAATCCTAAACAGACTACAATTGAAAGGCATGTTGCTTGATAGAGGAGGTGATCATCAACACCCAAACTACACTTGTTCCCCACTGTGGGAGGAGCCTACCTTCAAAATAGTAATAAAAGGTCTTCCAAATAAAAACTCTGCCTACGATCCAACAGTCCTAAGGTGCATCATAGAAAAGCAAATGAGCGGCATTGCAATAGCAAGAGCCACTCTCATCTTCACAGACGAATCGGTGGACACAGAATATTCGAGTGCAGGAGCTGCTCTTTGCGCGGACAGCGCACCGGCCTATTAGAGACTGGGAGGACTAGTATCATCAACACAAACTGAGCTGTTTGCCTTACAACAGGCATTCGCATATGTAATTGCACGAAACACTAAAAACGCAATCATACATACAGACTCAAACGCTGCACTTCAAATATTTGGAAACAAAAACAGTGGAAAGACATCGTGGAAATAATTACCACAATTTTGTATCTGGGAGCAGTAGCTAAAGGCAAAGGACTCAACATAACTCTGAACTGGATCCCATCCCATGATGGAATCCCATTCAATGAAAAAGTCGATGAAACTGCTAGATTGGTAACTCGTCATCTAGTGATCCACAAAAGAATCCAACCCAGCCTGGATTACATAAAAAACACCATCACCAAAAACCTTGCACACTTCATCAAAGCCCATCTACACCAGAGTGTAGCAGAAGGTTCGAACTAGGCAATATGGTATCCTCAGGCCACCAAGGCAGACAGGTTAAATATCACGAAAGGAATCCACAGGGAAATGGCAGTTCAGTTATAAAGATCACATCTAGGTTACAGATGCAACTGGGAAATTAGTGAACCCAGAGATTGGGAATGCATCTTCTACCAAACAATCACAGAAAAGCCACTACTTTACTATCTCCTGGGTTGTCAAGCGACCAACGACCTTAGAACAGCTTTTGGAGTCCCTGAATCTTGCAGTAACCACCCTGAAGCAATCAATACTGCCACTCTTCTGGTCGAAAAAGGTATCTAGCAGTTGGGCACCCTCATTAATACTGCCAAGCATTATATGCCCCGCGATAGCAGCCACATGTTTTTTACTTATAAAAGAAACCACAATGTACATACAGAAAACCACATAAAAATCAAAACAAGAGGTATATACATGATACGCAGAATACAGTAATACAACATGAAAAGAACCTAAACCCAAGAACCAAAAGTGAAATACACATGGTACGAAGCATACAATAAACCCCTACACGGGCACAAAATAAAGAACAAAAACCAGAACAGGACACATAACCAGTACAAGAAACACAAAACATTAATAACAGAAAACAGAACCACACAGGGAACTGTAAGTACAAAAAGTACAAAAAGACACATGCAAACGACCAGAAGGCCATAAGGACAAAAGTACATAATATAAACTATCACCACACCAAACACACAAATACAGCAACACAACAGTACAACCAGCCACGTATAAGACACACAGAGCCAGAAGTATAAAACCACACCCAACCACACAGAACATATACAGAAAGACACGGACACACAGACACACACGCAAACCCCACACAAGCAAACCCATGAACAAAAAACAGGAACACGCAGTATCCGGAAAACAAAACCTGCCCCACCCAGACACACACGCAACCCCACCCTACAACCACGCACCCATGCGCAAGCAACACCACAACACACAGTAATCATTTAGGAGGATATTTCTCAGGGAACTTTCATGATGGATACTTCCGCTTATAAGCCTCCCATATCAAATACTCCTGTTCGGTAGGGGAACGGCCCCGCACAAGGCTCCCCTGGGTACGTCATATACTCAGGGACCACCAAATCCAGCGGAAGCGACCGCCTCCAACCAGAGGACACTGAAGACGAAGAACTAGTCAGGTGAGGCAGGAACACCGCCGCCGTGGAAGCAGGAGATACCGGAACAGCGGGCGGAGGCTGCCGTTACGGCAACACCGCCTCCGACAAAGCAGTAGACACAGAAGAAATGACTGTAGACATGAGGGGCGGCAAAACCGCCGTCGCCGAAACAGGAGACAGGGGAGGGGGCACTGAACCCTCAGACCGAGCAGTTTTCTTTAGCACTACCACCAGGTCGCCACGCGCACCTTCAACCTTGCAAGGAAAAACCACTCCCCACGAGGAACCGGAACTATCCGACGCGGGCGACGCACTCGAATCAAGAGCCACACTGGCCCCCACCCCTACAGCAGGAGCCGCATCAGGGCCCACACCATCCACCGGAACCACACCAGCACCAGACGTACCATCCTCGCACTCCACAGAGGAACAGCTCGCAGAAGGAATATCAACACATGCTGCATCCTCACATTCCTCTGCCCACATACGAGGAGGCGAAGCACACATATTCGTATCTGAACGCTTGGGGACAGGTCGTTGGCCATCGGAGCTGTCACCCCCTGCAGGAGGCACCCAAGAAGAGCCGGCGACAGGCTGCCCCACAACCGGGGGATCAAGACCCCGCAGAATGTCAGCCTCAATGACACGGAGAACGAGACTGCCATCCACAGAGGAGACAGAAGAAAGAACAGGCGTGGCCAGAGGAGGGAAAGGGATCAACACAGGTGAGGGAGCCTGAGGGACATCGAAGGCGACAGAGGCGCAGAGGCAGAAACAGGTGCAGAAGCCGTCGGAAGCGAAGGCACAGACTGCGGGGGCGGAACTGCACACACCACCACCTCGTTGTGCTCACCACCATCCACACATACCGGGCCAGCAGCCGAGGAACTCAGAACCAGCACTGGGTCAGCAGGCGGCAGGGGAACCTCCCCACCCACTCCATCACAAGGAGACAGGTCCTGCGCCACCAACAGGGGAACATCTTCTTCCCGGAACAGACCCCAGTGCAAGCGGCTGCCAGGTTTCCCTCAAGGCCACAACGAAAACAGGAGCGGGCTGCCCTGCATAGAATGCCTGCAGAGTGTATCCCAGCAAGGTAACCGCGGAGGGAACCGGGGACTTGAATCTCAAGGCGAGAGTCCGTGTACCACAGGACACCCCATCCGACCTGCCGAAAGAGTTCATACTGAGGGATACCACTGTACCATATTGGCCAAAGTATCACCGAAGCAGGGCCTCCGAAAACTTGAAGGCACGCTATGCAATGCCACATAGGTAACAGAGCAACAGCGGTCGGAAATGGCGACTGTACTGCAGTCCCCAGGGAGAGTCAATGTTCGTCCATCATAGCGGGCTACGAACTCCTTGTACACGCTGGGGAGTTAAACTTCACTAGTGCTTGGTAAGTCGTCAGGAGCTGGAGCCCGTACACCTCGTCCACACGAACACGTAACATATCCAACAACACAACCTCAAGAGCCAGGTATGAAGCACATCCTGAAAACTCCAAACCAAAGGTCTCTGTCCGGCAAACAGGGGGGAGGGGGGGAGGGAGGGAGGGGTCCCTATGGCGCCGACATGCCAAACGGCACCCTCCCTCACGCAACTCCAGGCAACAATTGGCAGGTCAGGTAGACACGCTGGAGCACCCCTGCCGGCCAGGTCGGCAAACTCCAGCCACATAATAACGACTGACGATTTAAATGCACGCTCAGCACAATGTAGCCTTTCACAACCAAAGATCACATTCACTCTAAAAAATCTACTACTTACCATCTTCCGAAGGCGAGTGGTAGAATGGCTAATCATGCCCATGCCACCTCTTGGGTGGCTTAATCTTCATCAATGAATCCATCCTCTCTTCTATTACACGATTTTATAATGGTCCAGAACGGACCGAAACTTCGTCGTTTCATCATTTTATGACGTGTTGTTGGCTCATCATATCTAATTGTATCATAAATATACAACATAACTGTCCTTATTAGGTACATTGCCATTAGTAGTATTGTTAATTAGTATCCTCAGTTAAGTTACAATTAGTGATAAGGGTGTGAACGGTGATTAATTTAGGATAATAGAGTTTTATGAAGTGCTACTATAGTCTCACATATTTAACACAGAACATTAAATTGTTGAAATTAAGGTGTAGCTGTCGGTTCTGTTATCAGTGTTTATCACTCAAGCAATCCTGTAAATTGGATCTGGAAATTGTTTGCCACAGTTTTGATTTACCCAGTAAAAATCTCCTGAATGGCTGTAATGTTTTTCTTAAAGTGTAATAATAGTTTTGTGTTTTTAACTTGTGGTTCCTTTTATTTTAGTGTTCTTTATCTTACTGTTGCTTTTAATGATGATTTCGATAACTTGCCATCAAAGATTAGTGTATTATACAGCTGTAGACTGGACTGGGGGCGGGCTATAAGGAGACATTGTTTATCATTCAGTAGCTGGGAAAACCGCTGTAACAGTTACTTAAATTACGTAGGATAAACAACAAATTTAAATTAATTATCCCACAAAATAAACGTTGAAAAATACAAGCTACTGTAGCAATGGCACCCGTTTGTTTACATCAGCTGTTCCCCGAGGAGCGGGTGTTGTACTATGGGCAGCCCCTGGGGGTCCTGGTGGCCACTGACCGTGGAGCCGCCTCTGCTGGCCTGAGTGCCATGAAGGTCACCTATGACGATATCCAACCTCCTGTGCTTACCATTCAGGAAGCTCTGAAGCTGCCTCTTCCTCCAGACCAGTATCCACCCATCGAGCAGGGAGATGTGCAAGGTGAGGGCCCAATGTGCTAACTGTGAGGTATGGATGTTAGGTGATTATACTATCACTATATATATAAGGAGACAAGCTCACACACAAATAATGTCCTCTCTCTCTCTGTAGCTGGTTTTGCTGCCTCCAGCACCATCATCGAGGGCTCCGTCAGCCACGACAGTCAGTACCACTTCCACATGGAGTCACAGGTTCGTACACTGTTGCTGGTGACAACTTTCCTGTAGGGAAATAAAACACAGCTTTAGGATCTATAAGCCAAATATTAACATTAGTTGGTTAACTTACTCTGACCATTGCCGTCAACGGCGCGGGATGATGGGTCTTTAGTGATTGTCATTGGTTGGGTCATTTAAAAGTACTAATCTAGTCTCTGGTCTCCATGCCAGGAAGCGATTGAACAATAGCAAATCAAAACGTTTATAGTGCAAATCAAATGTTTGTAAAACGAAGGCACCTTAGAAATTATCAAGATATTTTTGGGAACAGTTGCTGCCTCCGCCACTCAGGAACTAAGAAAACCTACGTTATCAAAATATTGACCTATTGCTCATTGCTAATCTCTTCTACCAACTTATCTATTTGCTTACAATACATGATATTTGTTTCTGTAGGTGTGTTTGGCCACGCCCACGGACATAGGTCTGGACATCCTCTCCAGCAGCCAATGGGCCTCGGAAACTCAGAAGGTCGTGGGTCAAGTCCTCAACCTCCCGGACAACAAGTAGGGTCTCAATCTCTTCTTAAACTGAAATATAATAATTTTATCAAATTCATTTTCCGTCTGTTCTATAGCAATAATTTTTATGCAGTGTCCAGTGTCACAGACCTGATGACTCTTGGGATTATATATTTATCTCTCTCCTTCTCTCTTTATCTATCTCTATGTCTCTCTTACAATGTAACTAGTAACACAATAAGAACATGTGTCAGTATGTCTTTATAATTAGTGACAGATACATAGAATAGAATAGTTCTCCTTTCTAATCTATCAGACGGTCTTCGGTTTTCCCTGGCAAGGTGGGTGAGAGGTACTTGTTGAAGTTAGGTATTTTATGGTACATCGACTTAAGATTGAATAGTAGGAAATTTATGTTAATTTTCCTAAGATCATTGAATAATTGTGTATATTTCTATAAGAGAAACTTTGCTTTGAATTGTGTTTTCAAAATATTTTGCTAGGTGTTGCTGGCAGGCAGTGTCAAAAATCATATATGGTGTCAGAGAATAACCCTTGCACACTGTTCCTTCTTGAATTCTGGCGACTCCGACTAGCCTATGTTTATCCCGTATCACAGACGATTCCCCTTGTAAAGTTGGGTAAAGCGAGCCTCAAACGTCTGTCCTCCAAGCTTGGACAGACAAGCACACAATACTCTATAAGATAAAAATGGGAGAGCTTCTTTTAATTAAATTACATAATTGAAAATAATGATAAAATACAATATAATCCCCCCCCCCCCCCCCCCAAAAAAGATTAATACTTCGTTTACTTATTGGCACTGAGCACTTTAATAAACGTTTTTTAATTTAGTTTACAATAAACTTTCGAGGTTTTGTGTTTTTTCTAAATAACCAGTATGAAAAATGTATAACACAAAAATATTTATTATTGTTGATTGCACAAAACTAATTCTTGTAAAAACATATTGAAAATACAGTTTCTTTAAAGATATTTAAATTTTAGCAAAAAATATAAAATACTATCTCAAATGCTAATCAGGTGATTGAGACACAGGTCGTTGGGGTTTGTCCAATGCGAGAGACTCTGTCACAGTCAGGGCTAACGTAAGGAATCTATTCCATATAACTATATACAGCTTGGAAGTCATATGAGGGCAAGGAGTTGGAATTTGAAAAGAAAAGGAACGACTCTCGACCACTTGGAATATCAAGGGAACGAACTCCAACCCTGCAAGAAGCAATTCCATCAATGTATCGTAGTCTGTCCTCATCAACAATGACCAAATGCTCTTTAATCCTTCCACCAAACCTCCTAGATTAGGTTAGGTGTTTAAGTTCTGTTTGCGTATATTTGTTGTTGTTGTTGTTGTTGATTTAGGGGCGACGACGACCGTGGGATCGGATGCGCCCCGGCGTACCCGTTAAGAGTGAATCGCGAAGTCAGGAAAGGTGAAACGCCGAGCCAAAACGCGAAACGAGGGACGCCAATCACTAGAAAGTAATATGCCATACATCAAATAAACGGACAGTCAGGCAGATGATTGGGGAGCCCCAGGAGTCCTTCAGGGTGACAAGCACCGGCCCCGGCCCACACAGATAACACCAGGTAGCAAAACCAAAACTCTGCCCCCCAACTAAAATGCAAAAAGTCATCCAGTGTCCTCCGGCCGGCCGGCCGCCCACCACGGCTGAGGGCACACCAGAAACCCACCAAGACCCGCTAACCCCTGGCACCTCTCGGCCAAGCCGGCCCCCGAACACCGTCACACCGCCGGGAGAACCAGCCAGAACACGCCAAAAAAAATCCCGTGACCCAAGGCGATATATGCGCCAGGCGTCATACAATCGGACCGTTGAAGAGGGATGCCAAACTGCAGTAGCAAAGCCAAAACGCGAAAACAGGACGTGATCCGGCGGCTCCCAGGCGGAGGAGGTATCCAGACGTCCGCTCGGCGTCAAGGTTGAACCAGGAGTTCTGCGTATTACCATCTCCGTCCTCCACTCAAGTCCATTACATCCAGTGGTCGACACCACAGACGCATTCGTAAATTTTCACTTGCTGTTCATTCAAAACGGAAATTTTCTCAAACCGAAATTAATGTTAAAATATATATGCATATTGTGCATATATAGGCATAGGTTAGGTGTTTAGGTTCTGTTGGCGATTATTTATATCTGTAGTACGTGGGTGAAGCATTTACAGCGTTGAGGTTCGAACAAAATTCGTCAGTGAAGCACTTGTTCCGGAAGTGTTCGATCGAAATCAGTTGTGAGTCGTTTGTAAACGTTTTTTCATCTATAAACATGGGATTTGGCGGGTACATGGAATGGACTTTGGCTTTTGTTTATGAGAACGGGTTGCTGAGCAGACCAGTTCAAGCAGATTCACATCGGCTCGAACACATCGACTTTCCTGGTTGATGGTTTTATTTACCTTACTATGGATAATTGTTTATATATTGGGTAAACCTTCAGTATCTTGGTGTTTAATCAACTTGTTCTCGCGAATAGTACATCCCAATTTGATGTATAAATCCCAAAAAGCCAAAATATGATGTATTGAAAATCATAGCGGCTCGGCAAATTAACCGGCTGTGCCATTTTCTGTACGTTGGTCCTCGGTTAGTTTATTTTCGGACAGTTTAGTACATCATTTTTGAGACATTGTGGCAATTCAAGAGAACGGTCTGGGTGGTCACCTGTGCTGAGCGTTACTCTTGACTAATGTATGACTGTCGTTCGCTCAGATGTATCATCTCTAAAGCTTCACCGTGACTGTGTAAAGATAATCTTTTTGACTGTGTCGTCATTGTCGGACATTATTATGTCTTTGAGTCTTATCGAGGTGCCCCTCGGATACATACTCCTATGGTGCTAGGTTATGTGGATACATACTCTTTTGGTGCTGGGTTATGAGGATACATACTACTGTGGTGCTGGGTTATGTGGATACTCTTGTGGTGCTGGGTTATGTGGATACATACTCCTGTGGTGCTGGGTTATGTGGATACATACTCCTGTGGTGCCGGGTTATGTGGATACATACTCCTGTGGTGCTGGGTTATGTGGATACATACTCCTGTGGTGCTGGGTTATATGGATACATACTCCTGTGGTGCTGGGTTATGTGGATACATACTCCTGTGGTGCTGGGTTATGTGGATACATACTCCTGTGGTGCTGGGTTATGTGGATACATACTCCTGTGGTGCTGGGTTATGTGGATACATACTCCTGTGGTGCTGGGTTATGTGGATACATACTCCTGTGGTGCTGGGTTATGTGGATACATACTCCTGTGGTGCTGGGTTATTTGAATATTAATATCGAAGCCTTATAAAGAAACTTGATTATGCGGTTCGCAAATACAGCATAATTTTTTAAATATATTTTATTTTGAATGTCTTACGTAAATATAGTACCTATAACCAAGCCAAACCTAACTTAACTTCACCTAACATAATCTAATAATACTTTATTAGTCCAGAAGATAGAAAACGTTACCAGTAAACATAGCATTTGTGCTATCAGATCAGATCAAAACTTTATTCATATATAATTTTATATTTACAATTGATTAATGTTTTTAAAATAACACATTGTTTATGTGCAAAATATAAAACAAAGTCGTATACAGATGATGATGACCAAACTACACATCACAAGATTGAGAAGAGACAACGTTTCTCCATTTTCCATTGACGACATTTCTCCATCTTATTCTTACATTCATCTTATTCTTTTCTTATTTTTACATTCATCCTATTCTTTCCTTATTCTTACATTCATCCTAATATTTCCCTATTCTTTTATTCATCCAATTATTTCCTTATTCTAACATTCATCCTATTATTTCCTTATTATTATATTCATCCTATATTTTCCTTATTATTACATTGATCCTATTCTTACATTCAACCTATTCTTACAGTCATCCTATTCATATTTTTCTCTTACCTGCTCCTCACCTCTCATCTCACTCTCTTGTCATATATATTTGCCTGTACCTTCCTGCTCTGTGATGGCAATAACCCTGCAATTTCCTACCGCTGCCCTCGCAGACAGGAAAGCATCAAGGCCCAGGTTGAAGCCAAGAGAAACAACCCTTCTACCTCCTCGACTAGAGCCCCAAGCGTTCAACCCACCACCTTAGCTTTCACTAATTTCAACCAAAAAGACTTTCCAGTCTTACCAACATGTGACTCCTCCCAGCAGGCGACACAGCCTTCTCATTGGGGACCCAAGGTCCCACAGGCTCCTTCACAGCCCCCTGCATCACGTGCAGGCATTATCCCTGGTCTTATTAGACTAGCGGAAAGGCTAGCAGGACCAGACAACCAGCGTTTTGTCAGTGAACTAAACGCATTATACATAGACAATGGCCTGGCCCCCATCATAGCCACTGGCGTAAATCTCACTGTCTCCTCTACCACTCCGGAGACTACCACCAGGACGACCATGTGGTCAACTTCAACACTGACTCCAGAACCGCCCATGACCCGGGCGACACAAACAGAGGTAATTTCTTCTTTAGCTCCCAACACTCCTACCATCACTATCTCAGCAGCCGCGCTAGAAGACGTGCTGTCTACAAATGATAACAGCATCACCAGCGCTCCTGAATAGCTACAACCACCAATCAACGACACCTAAGCCTACCTAAGGCTGCGAGGCGAAAGACAAAAACGCCCACTACGGAGGTTACGGACTCCTCAGACGAGGAAATCATAGTAGGAGCTCCATCGCCGCATCACAAATACGATACATGCACGGTTCAAGACTTCCTCATGGAGGCCACGTCACCAAACACCAATGACAGCAAAGCTCAGCCAAAGTCGCAGGCAAAGAAAAAACGGAAAACCTAGAGGTATACACTAACCCCACCAGCTCCATAACTGGTATAGCCAGCCCTCCAGGCGGAAAACCATCATGAAGACCCCCATCCATCGCCAGATCTCTAGTATCAGCCACTGATACAGATAATGGCTCCAAAGAGCCTCCACTTATGGGCTCACCATAGCCCGTGCTACTGGAACTTAT